ACCAAGATTTATAAATCAAATATTACTAGTACTAAACAGAAAGATAAACTGCAGTGCAATAAGAGTGGGGAAAATCAACCCTCCACTATCAGCATTATATGTATCATTTAGACAGAAAATCAATAAATAAACTTTGAATGTAAACTGGACTTTGGACCACATGGTCCGAACAGACTTTTACAGAATGCGCTATTCAGTAATTGCAGAATACCCATTCTTATCAGAACATAAAACATTCTGTAGGGAAAACTCCTCTGGACATTGGTCTAGGCAAATATTTGATTCTGTTTTTTTGTTTTTTAAATTTGAGTTTTGGGGTATATATGCAGGATGTGCAGGTTTGCTACATAGTTAAATATGTTTGCTGCACCTATCAACCCATCACATAGGTATTAAGCCCAGCATGTGTTAGCTATTTTTACCAATGCTCTCCCTCCCCCTGCTTGCCCCAAACAGGACCCTGTGTGAGTTGTTCCCCTCCCTGTATCCATGTGTTCTCATTGTTCAGCTCTCACTTATAAGTGAGAACATGCGATGTTTGGTTTTCTGTTTCTGTGTTAGTTTGCTGAGGATAATCTTCCAGCTCCATCCATGTCAATACAAAGGACATTATCTCATTCCTTTTTATGGCTGCATAGTATTCCATGTATATGTGCCACAATTTCTTTATCCAGTCTATCATTGGTGGGCATTTGGATTGATTCCACATCTTTGCTATTGTGAACAGTGCTGCAATGAACATATGCATGTATGTATCTTTATAATATAGTGATTTATATTCCTTTGGGTATATACCCAGTAATGGTTTTACTGAGTCAAATGGTATTTCTGGCTCTAGGTCTTTGAGGAATCACCACACTGTCTTCTACAATGGTTGAACTATTTACATTCCCAACAACAGTGTAAAAGTGTTCCTATTTCTCTGCAACCTTGCCAGCATCTATTTCTTAACTTTTTAATAATTGCCATTCTGACGGGAGTGACAGGGTATTTCATTGTGGTTTTGATTTGCATTTCTCCGATAAGCAGTGATATTGAGTTTTTTTTCATATGTTTGTTGACTACATAAATGTTTTATTTTGAGAAGTGTCTGTTCAAGTCCTTTGCCTACTTTTAATGTTTTTTTTTATTTTTTCTGGTAATTTGATTAAGTTCCTTGTAGATTCTGGATATTAGACCTTTGTCAGATGTGTAGATCTGACACCCACCCCGTAGGTTGTCTATTCACTATGATGACAGTTTATTTTGCTATTCAGAAGTCTTTTAATTTAATTAGATCCCATTTGTCAGTTTTTGCTTTTGTCGCAATTGCTTTTGGCGATTGTTTCATGAAATCTTTGCAGACCACACGTCTGCAACCATCTGATCTTTGACAAACCTGACAAAAACAAGCAATGAGGAAAGAATTTCCTATTTAATAAAAGGTGCTTGAACAACTGGTTAGCCACATGCAGAAAATTGAAACTGGACCCCTTCCTTACACCTTATACAAAATTAACTCAAGATAGATTGAAGACTTAAATGTAAAACCCAAAACTATAAAAACCCTAGAAGAAAATCTAGGCAGTACCATTCAGGACATAGGCATGGGCAAAGACTTCATGTTGTGTTCTATTCTATTTCTAAATAAAGTTTCATTATTTACAATATAACATATTTTAGGCCACCAGAGAATCTTCAAAACATTCTTAAAAATTGAAATTATATAATGTATCTTCTCAACCTTAATATAATAAAATTGAAAATCATTAACAGGAGAAAATTTGAACACTATAGAAATACATGCAAAGCAAATAATGATAGACTGGATTAAGAAAATGTGGCACATATACACCATGGAATACTATTCAGCCATAAAAAAGGATGAGTTCATGTCCTTTGTAGGGACATGGATGAAACTGGAAACCATCATTCTCAGCAAACTACCTCAAAGACAGAAAGCCAAACACCGCATGTTCTCACTCATAGGTGGGAATTGAACAATGAGAACGCCTGGACACAGGAAGGGGAACATCACACACTGGGGCCGGTCATGGGGTCGGGGAAAGGGGAGGGATAGCATTAGGAGATATACCTAATGTAAATGATGAGTTAATGGGTGCAGCACACCAACATGGCTCATGCATACATATGTAACAAAACTGCATGTTGTGCACGTATACCCTAGAACTTAAAGTATAATAATAATAATAAAATGCTCCAGAATGATCATTGGTACAATAAAGAAATTAAGATAGAATTTAAACAATTAAGCAATTATTAAAACAAATGAAAACGGAAGCACACATACCAAAACCTGTGGGATACAACAAAAGCAGTGCACAGAGGAAAGTTGATTGCACTAAATGCCTACACCAAAAAAGTTTTAAAAATTTCAAACAAGCAATCTAATAATGTACCACAAGATATTAGAAAGCAAGAAAAAAAAAACCCAGGAAATTAGCAGAAAAAAAGAAATAATAAAGATAAAGGCAGAACAAAATAAAGACTAAAAATTGGTGCAAAAGGTCAATGAAATGAATAGTTGGTTCTTTGAAAAAATGAACAAAATTGATCAAACTCTACCTAGACTAACAAAGAAAAGCAAAGAGAATACTCAGATAAACCAAATTAAAAATAAAAAGATGACATTACAACTTACGCTACAGATATCCAAAATATTGTCAGAGACTATTAAGAACAACTTTATGCAAACAAACTGGAAAACCTAGAAGAAATGGATAAATGTGTGGAAATATGCAACATCTGAAGATTAAATCACAAAAAATAGAAAACCTGCACAGACTAATAAGTAGTGAAATTGTATCAATAATAAAAGTCTCCCAAAAAAGAAAAGCTCAGGACTGGATAGATTCACTGACAAATTCTACAAAATGTATAAAGAAGAACTAATATCAATTCTCTTTAAAATATCTGCAAAAAATTAAAGAGGAGGGAATTCTCTTAATTCATTGTATAAAGCTGGCATTACCCTGATACCAAAACCAGATAAGGACAAGCCAAAACAAAAAAAATTACAGGTCATATCCCTGACGAACATTGATAAAAGTAACTTCAGCAAAATACAAACAAATAGAATCCAACATCATATAAAAAAGATGATATACCATGACCAAGTGGGATTTACATCAAGGATGCAAGGATTTTCCAATACAAGCAAATCAGTAAACATAATAAATCACACCATCTGAATGGAAGACAAACACCATATGATCATCTCAACAGACACAGAAAAAGCATTTGATAAAATTTAACATCCTTCATGATAAAAGCTCTCAACAAACTAGGCATAGAAGGAACATAAAATAATGTAGGTTATATATGACAATCACACAGCCAACATACTTAATGGGGAAAAGTTGAAAGGCTTTCTCCTATTTAACATAGTACTGGAAGTCCTAGCCAGAGCAATCAGGCAAGATACATATATATATATAATCAGGCAAGATACATATATTATATATTATATATATAACTTGCCTGATTGATCAAGATAGCTATATATATATCTTGTCTGATTGCTCAAGATATATGTGTGTGTGTATATATATATCTTGCCATATATATATATCATGTAAATTAAAAATGAGGAACTCAATGTCCTTTTTTGCAGATAAGAAAAAAATATAAGACTCCACCAAAAATCTCTTAGAACTGATAAATTTAGTAAAATTTCAGGATAGAAAATTAATATACAAAAATCAGTAGTGTCTCTATGCACCAATTAAATATACAGCAATAATGAAATAAAAAGGCAATAAATTTACAACAGCTACACAAAAAATAGAATACGTAGGAATACTTTTACAGTGTCAAAATGGTTGGTACTTAACTTCTCCTTTCTAAATCTAACGCAAAACTCTCCTGTGGCAAACAATAAAATACAAGGGAAGGAAATTCTAGGAAACATAGCTCCATTTTAGCTAAATTGACACAGTACAAAGCTACCAGGTCATACCCTGATATATAATTATATAAAATATTTTATTAACTGTTGACCTACAGGGATTTTCAAAGTACATAATTAAATGTTAGTAATGTTTCTAAATCAGGAGATGGCAATCACAGCTTGTGGGCCAAATTCAATTCTCCAAATGCTTTTGTATATAAAATTGTATCAGAGTACAACCACACTCATTCTTTACCTGTTACTTATAGCTGCTTTCACACTTACCTATTCTTTGCCTATTGCTTGTGTCTGCCTTCAGACTATAATAACAGAGTTCAGTTATAGTAACAGAAACTGTATGGCCTAAAAAGCTTAAAATACTTTCTATCTGGACTTTTATAGAAAAACTGTGCTGAGCTCTGTTCCAGAGCAATGTAGTCTGTACACAACACATCAGCAATTGCCCTATATATGTGGCTATGTTGGTACATGCTTTATAAAATGTTAGAATTTTATGGAAGGCTTTATATCCAAATATAAATATGTCAGAATATGAATTTGTTTTCTCAGTTTTAATTTTAAGTAAGTAAGCAAGATTATTAGCTTTCTCTGCACTTTTGTTTTTATCATGGACATTTTGTATTTTATCATTTATAAATTAAAGAAAATAAAAAATCATCATGCTCCACCACCACAAAAGGACGAAATAAAGCACAAAATAAAACAAAGCCTTTAACGTCCACATAGAACAAAACTGTTAAAGAATATTAATATAGTTGATTTGTACAAGAAATACAATTAGATAATACATTAAGACTGAATAGATAACGGAGAAAGCAGGAAAGGCTCTGGTGTATTTTGTGTAATATAAAATAGGTAGGGTACAACTATACTATTCTGTAAAGCGTTATCATGTGTAATATTCTGCACTAATTGAAATTTAAGTGACCTTCTGCCCTTGAAATGATTACATGAAGTATCTCTTAATTTTTTTACTTAATATTAAACTAATATTTTGAAAATGGTTAATATTCAAGTAAATTTTAGAATATTAAATTTAGTGAGTTATTCATTCTTTCTGCTGATCAGCATGCATTCTCACCTTCATGGTAACAGAACCCAGATTTTGCTTTAAGGAAAGGACTTTCTTCCCATTTTCAGCCTTGTAGTAAGCTGATTAGTCTATTGCACTCTTTTGGCCACAATGCTTGCTTCAGAGAAGACACTTAACACAGTAAGATTCACTAAAAGAAAAAAAAAAACAATAATAACTTTTCTGGGGATTCCTGAAAAGACAAGCTTCCTTTCTTTCTACAGGTACTAGAAAGTCCTACTGTCATCCTTCCTGGATAAGGTGGTATGAAAATATGAATTATAGAGTTGCTGCAGCCTTTTGTATACCTAAGGGAAGAGTTCAGAGCTACGTATGAAGTCATGTTTGGGGAAAAGGTAGGTTGAAGATGGCGAAACAATTGACTGCATATAACAGGATAGAGAGATGGTGAGAAACTGAATCCTTTTTGACACCACGGTAACCCAAGTCAAGCTTTGCCTAAATAAACTGTGCTTCTAGGATTTTCAATTACGTGAGTGTAGTGTTTTCTACCACAAGTAACCAGTTATCTGATTCACTAGGCACCGAGTGTCCAAAAATTCAATTAAACTTTTGGAGTTAGTGATAGACCCCACATTTCCCACAAGACTGCCACCACTTTCCATATCACTTGAAAGTCTTGAGCCACCTGTACATGCAAAACAGTGACGTGAAGGCAGAAAAAATAGTGGGGTAATATAACATCAATTTTCGTCATACTAACATACACTTAACTGATTGAAATATGGATGAAGACATGATTTAACTAATGAATGAGAAGTATATGAAAATTGAAAATATTGAAGTATAAAATTTAATGAAAATGTAATAATGCCCAATTTCTTAATACATTTTTGTATATTTCCCCCTTAGGCTTAATTTTCTAGGTATAATAAGACTGAAAGTGCTGCAATATCAGAGCAAGTATATCAGTTGTTGACAACATACAACAGTTCTAGCCTTAGTTCTCAAGAGTCAACCTTCACACTAACTTTGCTTGATCTAATTTAAAAAAATCATTTCCTAAGACTGCGTTTATAAAATATTCTATTTTACTAAAGAAGCCATGACTTAATATTTTAACGTATCATTTTTCTTTCAATTAGATATTCATTAGTAGTGCCTATCAAAGATATTCCTCTATACCTACTGGCTAAGTTTTGATGAATTGAAAATCTTAAAATTATCAATTGAGCTTTGGCAGTATTCTATTTTTTAAAATTCCAGATCCTCCTTTCTTCAGTTTACTACCTTTCAACTCATATTACATCTTGTATTCATGACATCACAAAATCAAACAAATTCTATCATAAACATAATGTATTTAAAAGCTTACCTTTGAAAAATTCCAGTATTGAAGAGTCTTGTATTCAGTGAATTATGACATGTTAAAAAGGAAATTTAAGTCCTTATCTGCCAAAACTTTCTTTTCACACTATCCATGCATCACAGAGTTCCCTTCTCTCTGGTTGGAGATAGTATTAAAATTTTAGTCAAAAGTCACAATGAGATTTTTGATTTCTGGTTTGGCATGTAAAGAGTTTGCAAATCGTTATTTCCATACTCATAAAATGAATAAAAGACGAACAAACTAAAAATCAATAACTCTACCTAAACTCATAAGAAAATTGAAATCACAGGACAAACTACTCCTCCAAATTTTGAAAAGACAGATGGAAGGAAATTATCACATACCAAATCAGAATCCCAAAAGCAGAATTGCTAGAGTCAGTACCAGGGAACACATTTGTAGAGTGAACTGCCAAATTACTGGATGCTCAGGGTAGACAAACTTGGAAGTTTAAAATTCCAAAAAGACACAGTCTTAAGAGAGGTCCTCAATTTTGTGATTTTTTTTTCTTTAGGAGTTCTATTCAATGTGCAGAAAATCAAAGACAAAAAATATCTTGGAATAATATGTGGAGAAAAAAGCTACTTTTGTATAGAGGTATTAATGAAAGTGGACCCCTATCACTCATCGTGTATAAAAATTAGTCAGGACGTATAAAGTCTCAAATGTAAAAGCTAAAACTATAAAAATTCTAGAAAAAAAAAGCTATGAAAAACTCTTCTGGACATTGGTCTACACAAAATAATTATGACAATGACTTCAAATGTAAATGCCTCAGAACAAACATTTTCAAAATGTACTTATTTAAATAAAAGAGTTACTGAACAGCAAAGAAAACAATCAACAGAGTAAACAATTAACAGAGTACACAAACCACCTACAGATTAGAGAAAATACTTGTGAACTATGCGTCTGACAAAGAACTTAGAATCCACAGGAGCGTAAATCAGCAAGAAAAAAGAAAGACAAAGTAACCCCATTAAAAAGTGGGCAAAGGACATTAATAGATACTACTCAAAAGAAGATATGTAAGTGGACAATAAACATATTTTAAAATGCTCAATATTACTAAATATCAGACAAATGCAAATTAAAACCCAATGGGATACTATCTCGCACTAATCAAAATGGCTATTAAAAAATCAAAAAATAACAGATGTTAGTGAGGATGTGATGAAAAGACAATGCTTTTATATTGTGGGTGAAACTGTAAAGTAGCTTAACCCCTATGGCAAACAGTATGGAGATTTCTCAAAAGCAACAAACAGAGCTACTATTTGACCCAGCTATCCCACTATTGGGTATCTACCCAAAGGAAAAGAAATCATCATATAAAAAGGAAGCTTGCATTTGTATGTTCACTGCAACACTATTCACATTAATAAAGCCACAGAATCAACCTAAGTATCTATAAATGGTTGACTGGATAAAGAAAATGTGGTATATATACACACCATGAAATAATATGCAGTCATAAAAATAACAAAATCGTATCTTTAGCAGCAACATGGATGGAGCTGAAGAACACTATTCTAAATGAAATAACTCAGAAACATAAAATCAAATATTTCATCTTCTTTCTTACAAGTCAGAGCTAAACAATGGGCACATGTTGATATAAAGATAGAAATAATAGACACTCGGGACTTCAAAAAAGGGGAAGGTGGCAGGGAGTGAGGGTTGAAATACTATGTTTTTGGTACTATGTTCACCATTTGGATGATGGGTTCACTAGAAGCCTAAACCTCGGCATTACACAATATACTCATGTAACAAACCTACATACGTACCCCGAATCTAAAATTTAAAAAAGAATTACATTTATCTTCAGTAACCATATAAGCAAGAAGAGAGTGTATTTTAATATTTAAAATGTTGAAAGAAACAATAAAAACACCAACTTAGAATTCTGTAGACAGAAAAATTATCTTTCAAAGTGAAGAATAAAGATTTTATCGATATAAAAAGTGAGACAATTAGTCTACAAAAGGCTTTTCTCATGGAAAATGTTAAAAGACTTTTTTAGAAATAATGAAAATGATATACATTATAAATATGCATCTACATAAATAAATGGAGTTAGAGAAGAAATAAAGAAAAAATAAAATACTTTGTCCTAATTGATCCAACAGATAACAGGTTGTTAAACATAATGATACCAACAAAGAATTTAGTGAGTATATTTTGTGGATAAATAAAACCAAGAAGAGCAATAGCATAAAGGAAAGAAAGAAATAATTCATAATACTCTACTGTAAATTACTTGCCCTACCTGTGAACAAGTGTAGTATTATTCGAAAGTGGACTATGAGTAGCTATAAATGTATGTTGCAAACCTTAGAACATCCACTAAAAAAGAGTTTAAAAAGTAGTGTAACTGGTATGTTAAGGAAACAGTAAAAATAGAGAATCATATGTTATAGAAGGCTCAATTAAAATCAGCAAAGGCAGGAAAAAAACTAAGATGAAAACGAGAAACAAAGTAAACAAAAAATGACAAACGTGGCAAGTATCAATCCAAATATATAAATCAACACTGTATATATGTCAATGACCAAAATGTATCAATTAAAAGACAGAAAACATCAAAGCAGATGATAAACAAGGCCCAACTATACATCTAAAAGAAAGACACTTTAAATATAAAGGTATAGATAGATTAAAAGTGATGGAGAAAGATATAACCTACTAACACACACGCGCGTGCACACACACACACACACACACACACACACACACACACACACAGCTGGAGCAGCTATACCAATCACAGACAAAGACTTGAGAGAAAGAAAATTTATCAAGATAGAGATTATTATTACATAATAATGAAGGAGTCAATTCATCATGAAAAAAGACCTTTCATGTGTATGTGCCTAATAACAGTGTCAAATAAATGAGAACAAAACTGATAAAACTGCAAAAAGAAGCAGATTAATTCATATTATAGCCTGGGACTTCACATCCCTTAAACATTAATTGACAGATTCAGAAAAAATCAGCTAGGGCTTACTTGAACTGAATGACACCATCAATTAACTGTATTGAATACAGCAACTTCAGAATACACATTCTTTTCATGCTCACATGGGACATTCACCAATACAGACTGGTCACCGTGGTCTATAAAACACAGCACAACAAATTTTTAAGAATAGAAATCATATAAACTATAGTCTCAGACCACAATGCAATTAAGCTAGAAAACAAGAGAAAGGTGGAAATTTTCCAAAATATTTGAAGACTAAACAATATTCTCCTAAATAACACGAGTCAAAGAAGTCTCAAGAGAAATTTAATATATACTTAACTAAATGAAAATGCAAAATACAACTTATACAAATGTATGAGATGTAGTGAAATTGAGAGGAAGTGCCAGCTGGGCTTCCCGGGTCGAGTAGGGGCTCAGAAAGCTGTGAAACTCACTCATTTCCTGCATCATGATTTACTTCAGTCCTCGATGAATAATATTGAAGATATATGCTTAAAATATTCCTCACACCAGGATTTGTGCATGTGTTTTCTTCCCCAAGAAAGCTATAAACAGCGAAAATTTTTCTGTAAGCTTCCCAGTGTCCTCTCTCCCTCTCTCCCTTCCCCCTCCCCTAAAACTAAAAGGAATGTTAAAAGCCCATTTTTTCTATGACCAGTGGACCTTATCCATGCTCCCAATTCCAATTCCTTGTAAACATACTTTGTACAGTCCTGTAAGATCCTGTCTCCTTTGTCATGCCGCTGCAAGATCATAAAGTAGAGAAAACCTAAGTTGCAATTCCGGTTTTCCTCAAAATCTAAGATGTCACAAAATAATTTACTGCCTTTGTTTCTCGCTCTGGAAACATCTTCCCGCCGCACGTATTTCCCACGTTAAAGAGTTTAAAAGGCAATCGCCCAAAACCAACAGCGACTACCCACTCGGGACCCCTTCTACGCTGTGGAAGCTTTGTACTGTCACTCTGCTCAATAAAGCCTACAGCTTTTTTTCTCTTGGCTCGTTTCTCCATACTCGCCGCAGGCAGCCGCCACACCATTTCTTTGGCATGGCTAAGGCAAGAACCTTCAGCGTTACAAAATCAGTGTGTAGTTGAAAATTTATAGCATTGAATGCATATGTTAGAAAATAAGAAAGATCTTAAATCAATAATTGAGATTACACTTTAGGAAACTATAATGGAAGAGAAAATTAAAACTAAAATTGGCCAAAAAATTAATTATAAAATTAGAGTATAACCCCGTGAAATTGAAAACAGGAAACTGATACATCATGACCAAGTGGGATTGATTCCAGTTATACAAGGTGGGTTCAAAATTTGAAAATAAGTCAATGTAACCCACCAGTCAAAAAGACTAAAGAAAAAAATGATAAGATATAAATAGATGCAGAAACACCGGTTGACAAAGTTCAGCACACATTTATGATAAAATATCTCAGTAGATTAGAAATAGAAGGAAACTACCTTAATTTGATAAAGAACATCTAGACGCCTTCTCACGAAGATCTGAAACAAGACAAATATGTTCCTTCTCACCACTCCTATTCAACATCCTACAGGAATTCTTAGCTAATAAAATAAACAAAACTAGAATAAAGTATATACTGATCAAAAGTATATGTATATTGAGGAGGAAAAAGTAAAACTATTTGTTGATGACAAACTTTTTATGTAGAAAATCTTAAAGAATCAACAACAAAAAAAAAACCATGTGGAGCTATAAGTAATTATAGCAAGATTGTAAGATACAAAGTCTTACAAAGATACAAAAAAATTGTGTCTTTTGCAGCAACATAAACAGAACTGGAGGCCATAGACAAATGTTGATTATTTTCTCACATATCATAAATGATTGAAATTTCAAATGAAAAACAAAATATCATTTAATTTTGCTCTAAGAAAGTGAACTATGTAGGTATGAATCTAAAAAAAAAACATATCCACAAGAACTCTCAGTGGAAAACTATGAAACTCTGATAAAACAAAGGCGATCTAACTAAATGAAGAGATATTACATGTACATAAATAGGAAGATTAATATTGTCACAATGTCAACTCTTGCCAAGTTGATTCACTGTAATCCACTGAAAATTTCAGAAGTTAATTTGGGTATATTGAAAAACTTATTATAAAGTTTGTGTGGAAAGCAAAGACTCAGATAGCAAACACAATATTAAAGGAGAGGAACAAAGTCAAAGAATGGACAATACTTGACTCCGAGATTTACTACATTTGCATGTCTCTGATGATTGCTGATGATGAGCATTTTTTCACATGCTTGTTGCTCATTTGCATGTCTTCTTTTGAAAAATGTGTAGTCATGTCTTTTGCCTACTTTTTAATGGAATTATTTGGGAATTTTTTGTTGAGTTGTTTGAGTTCCACGTAAATTCTGGATATTAATTCGCTGTTAAATGCATACTTGGCTAATATTTTCTTCCATACTTCATGTTGAATCATATCTTTTGCAGCCACACAGAACTGGAGGCCGTTACCTTAAGCAAAACAACTCAGACACAGAAAATCAAATATCATAATTTTCTCATTTATAAGCAGGAGCTAAATAATGTGTACACATTGATGTAGAGTATGAAAGACAATGGAGACTTGGAAGTTTTGAAGGGTGGCAAGCGAGTGGTCAATGAGCGATTACTTGAACAGTACAATGAGTGTTATTCCAATGATAGATCCACTAAAAGCCCTGACTTCAGCACCATGAACTATATCCATGTAACAAAATTATACCTGTACCCCTTAAATTCATACAAATAAAATTTTAAAGAAAGAGTTACTATAAAGCTACATTAATCAAGACAGTGTGGTATTGGCAGAATAATAGACAAATAAAAGTGGGAAAAAATAGAGCCCAGAAAATAGACCTACACAAAATTGTCAACTAATCTTTAACAAAGGAGCAACAGAATTTAAAAGGAAATTGGCTAGTCTTTTAAACAAATGGTGCCAGAACAGAATAGCTGGACCTTCAAATCTAAAATCAAAACAGTATCTACACACTGAACTACACTTTCATAAATATATCAAAATTGATGATTTAACTGTTAATTTCAAAGCTCTAAAACTTCTTAAATATTAAACAGTAGAAAATTTAGGTGACCCCAGGTTTGGTGATAATTTTTTAGATATAATACCCAAAGCATGATCTATAAAATAAAAAATTGATAATTTGGACTTCATTAAAATTAAAAATGTATGCTCTACAAAAGACACTGGGCCAATGGCAAGAGAATGTAAAGACCAGCCACAGTCTGAGAGAAAGTCATGGCAAAACATGCATCTGATAAAATATTAATATCCAAAATATACAAACTCTTAAAACTCTTAATAAGAAAAAACCCCATTTTAAGAATGGGCTAAAGATCTAAAGAGACATCGCTAAAGAAGATATACAGATAGAAGATGAGAAGATGCTCAACATCTTATATCATTAGGAAATAGCAAATTAAACCAATGATGACTTGCCACTATATACCTGTTAGGATAGCTGAAATCCAAAACACTGACAATGCCTAAATGCTGGCAATGGAAACTCTGATTCATTGCTGATGGAAGTCAGCATAATAACTTCAGTGAATAATTATGTATTGCATATTGGAAATTTTCTAAGAGAGCAGATATTAGGTGCTCTTGCCACAAGAAAGGTAACTATGTGAGATGATGGATATATTAATTTCCTTTACTGTAGTATTTCACTATGTATATACATATCAAAACTTCATGTTTCATATCTTAAATATATACAATAAGTAATATTAAAAATAAAATAGCCATAGTTTTTAAAAATAAAAATTAAATGCTGTTAATTAAAAATAATCTTAAAAGTCATAGTCATTCTTTTCAAAGACATCAATAATTTTCATCATAAGGAAATCTATTCTCCCTCAAACCTGCATTTAACACCAATAACGTTTCAGAAGAATCATGTGGTTTATATGTTTTATAAATTGATTTGATTATAAGAAAATAAATTAAATTTATAGAAACTATATAATCCTCTCACATTTATAGTCCTTTCCCAAAAATTACCAGAATAATCAAATATATTTACTTCAAAGTTCTTTATTTTAAACCCCATACTTATGCATTAAACTTTGTAAAGAGTCATTAATTTCACAAATATATTCATAAACAGATGTTTTAAGGAATGAAATGACTCCTCATTTAGGAAAATATGCAGTTTGACTGCCACAGAGTACGGAATCTTGAGAATAAAGAAAATGCATTAGATTCTGCTTCCAGGGAAGAAACGAAAAAAGAATTCTGGCTTTCATTTTTTTTTAATTTTTTTTTTTACCACTGACCTAACTATGCTAATTCAGAAGAGATTTCTACTTATTTAAAAAATTATGTAACTGTATAGCCAGATAATGAATTCTTATAAGAAACCAAGTTATATGTATCCTGTAAATTTAATTATGCTGTTAGGTTTGGGAAACAAATATATTTTTGTATTGATTAATCATCTATACAACCACCCCACCCCCAACATCATTACCAGACTCTGGTGACTTATCATTCTACTTTGTATCTCCATGAGTTCGTTTTAATTTTAGCTCCCATAAGTAACTGAGAACATGTGATGTTTGTCTTTCTGTGTCTGGCTTATTTCACTTAACATAATAATCTCTAGTTCCACACATGTTGCTGTAAATGACAGAATCTCATTCATTCTATGACTAAATAGTACTTTATTGTGAATATATACTGAATTTTCTCTCTTCATTCATCTGTTGATGAACACTGAGTTTGCTTTGAAATCTTGGCTATTGTGAATAGTGCTGCAATAAACATGGGAGTGTGGATATCTCATCAATATACTGATTTCCTTTATTTTGGGGATATAACTAACAGTAGAGCTGTTGGATGGTATGACAGCTCTATTTATAGTTTTTTGAGGAAGCTCTAAACTGTCCTCCATAGTGGTTGTGTTGATTTACATTTCTATCAAGAGTGTATAAGAGTTCCCTTTTCTTAAAATCCTCTCTAGCATTTGTTACTGACTGTCTTTTGGATAAAAGCCATTTTAATTGGGATGACATAATATCTCATTGTAGTTCTGATTTTGATTTACTTAATTATCAGTGATGTTGAGTACCTTTTCATATATCTGTTTTCCATTTATATGTTTCCTTTTGATAAATGTATATTCAGATATTTTGTCCATTTTAACTGAATTATTATTTTTTCCTGTAGAGTTGTTTGAGCTTCTTACATATTCTGGTTATTAATCCTTTACGTGGTGGATAGTTGAAAATATTTTCTCCCATTCTGTGCATTGTCTCTTCACTTAGTCAATTATATCCTTTGCTGTGCAGAAGCTTTTTAGCTTGATGTCATCCTATTTGTCCATTTTTTCTTTGGTTGCCTGTGCATGTGACGTATTATTTAAGAAATCATTGGCCAGTCCAATATCCCAGAGTTCCTCCAATGTTTCCTTTTACTGGTTTTATTATTTGAGGTCTTATAAATAAGTCTTTAATCCATTTTCATTTTATTTTTCTATATAAC